CAGGTATTTCTAAATTCGTCCCTGGGTATTTAATGTATGTTATTTTGGCCCTTGGTTTGGACGGAAGTAGTCATGGGAAGCCCTAATGGTAGGTTTGTAATTTTGGGGCCAGGAGGAGTATGCTAAGTGTGTTGGATTAGGTGTCTAAGCCTATAACTGTAATTGGTATGTACTTGACCCGATACACGCATGATCCATTTGGGTTGTAACACTCTGGAACAATTTGATTGGATGGATATTTGAGAAAGAGGTTAATGTGCTTTATTAATATATTATAAGTATAATATATTAATTGAGAAATCATATTATTTAAATTAATATTGGTCAAGAATTAATTTGGAATTAGTTTAGTGATCAAAAGAGAATAATTAAATTAACGGGGACTAATTGTGTAAATCAGTGATATATATAGTTTGGGCTAATGATCCATATTGATTAGTAATGGACTAAGTTCATGATGAGTTAGTCCAAAGGACTTATCATATGGATTATTGGATTAAGGCCCAAGGAAGTGGATTAGGGTTTAACTCTTGGATTCTATACTATATAAATGTAACCCCTAAGCCAAAAATCGTGCACTAGTGATTCTAAGAAGCTCTAGACGATTTTTATGTCTCCAAACCTCTCTCTCAAGTTCCTCCTCTTATTCTTGGTTTGTTATAAGACATTTGAGGCATCACACTTAAGGTGCTAGGCTCTTGAAAGGCCAATTCCTACAAGCTACAATTAAGAGGTATTCTTCTAACTTACTTTTATGTTTCAATTGCCAATATTGTATGCTAGTTGTAGGTTTCAAGCTTTGGAAATTTTATTGCATGTATAACTAGAGAAAACTTAGATCCAAAGCTATTAGGGTTGTATGTGCACCATAGGAGTATTATAGTACACAAAACCCAACAGTGGTATCAGAGCCATGGGTAGTTTTCTGTTATATTCATGCATAGCTAATTGTTCAAAGTTGAAGGAAAATAAAAAAAATGAAAAAACTGTTTCTGTCAGCATGAACTCGACGAGTCCACTATTGGACTCGACGAGTTGGATGATTTTGGTCATGAAATCGACGATTCCACAAACTGTTTTGGTTCATAAAATTTGATTTTGTTGATATGGTAAAGATTATCCCCATCCAATAACATGATGATTGCAAAATTTTAATATAATCACTTGATTTTATGAAAAACTAATTATTTGTAAAATTTGAATCATTTTGTTACAATAGTTGAATTTGATCAATTTAGTAAAAGATAAAATGATATGATTGTTTTATTAGTTTAAAGTTTGATCTAAATGTTTTAAGGAGTTACAAATTTTGTCATTAAATTTGGAACTCAAAAGTTTTTTAAGGAGTTACAAATAAATATTAGTTAAATTGATCTTAATGTTTTTTGAAGAGTTCCATAAGTTATGGAACATGAAAAGTCTCATCTTCATAAAACAAATTAACTCCTTAAGTTATGGAGTTCAAAAGTTTTTCCAAGAATTACAAAACTTGCCCTCAAGTTTTAAAAGTTGAAAAGTCTTAATTAAGAAACATTGAATTCATAAAAATCATAGTAATTTGAAAAGTTTTCAAAAATGTAACTCATGGGTTCATAACTTAAAATTAATTAAATAGTTTTAATTTGATTTAGCATCTTGATGTTTTTGTTGAATAGCTCAAATTAACTCTTATGGACTTATTAATAGTTAATTAAATGTTCAATTAAAAGAGTATTATTAAATTTATAATCATATGGTTTAAGTTTAATTAAATTAAGAGTATAATTTATTAATAGATTAAACTTTCAAGTATTTTAAATGTTTAAAATACACCCTTATACTATATAAAATTAAAAGTCTAATATATTATATATGTATAAGTTAAAAGTCAGTCTTACCGTTAGTAGGCCTCATTCACGAAGCTGGTCTATAAGGGGTATTTAAGGAAGCGACCTATAAAATGACCACCATTGGGTATACACTCTTACCCACCGCACTCTTGACCATTGGAGGGTCGTTAGCCGAACGGGTTTGACATGACATTTAATTCCTCATTAAAAGTATAATGAAATACTAAGTAACTAAATACTTTACAAATTCTCAATCTTAGTTACTTAGGAAAAATGTGAAAATGGTGCTATTCCATGAAATTGCACTTTGCACCTTGTTAAGTAGTTAGTGGAGCGTGTGTGGTTAACCGGCACACTAATTTGGGACTGACAATGTGTGACAAAGGGTAGCTTGATGTTAATCATGGATCAATGGAGCGTGTGTGGTTAACCGACACATTGATTAGGTGATTTGTAACATTAAGTGTACCAAGCTAATTTGCATGGTTATTCACACATTGTTTGTGATCCTCGGCATCCCAGTCACAAACTTGATGGGCATAATCGAGATTAAACATGCCATTGAAAAGTTCAATGAATCTAAAAGAATCTAGGAATTTCTATTCATTTAAAACCAAAAAATTCATTTTCGTTTTTCATGATGGAAATTGGTAAATCGTCATTTACCTACCTTCAAATATTTTACAATTGGATTACGGCATCCCTCTTCCAAATTGTAAATTATTGTGTTGGGTCCTAGCCTTAATATTTCATTTTGGGTGTTATATTAAGGACATAAATCAACTCCCTATAGATGTCTAGTTCTGACAACTATGGTCTTCCCGAATCTTTTGGAAAAAGCTTTCCACATGAAGATGATATTCCTCAATATCATACTTCACTTCCTCTACCTCCATGTATTATTCTCCCCGACCCACAATTTCGTCGACTTGAAAAGTTCAAGGTCACTCAAACCCTATTGTCTAGCAAACACGAAGATGGAAAGTCTGTGTGTGCACACGTCCTGGAGATGAAGTCACACATTGACAAGCTGAGAATGTTAGGTGTCGTTGTCTCAAGGAAGTTGGCTGTTGATTTGGTTCTTCAATCACTTCCTAAGTCGTATAGTGAGATCGTTAGAGATTACTATATGATAGACCGCGACGTGACCCTTATTGATCTTACCTATTTGCTAACTTCTACTGAATCAGAAATGATTTGGTGCACTGGTAAAGCAAATTTGATTGGAAGATCAATTTCTCAAATTTCCATGGACATTGACAATGGATTCATTGGAAGTCCAGAAAAGCTTTCTCTTCCCAATGGAAAGGCCAATGTCAAACCGTTTGACCAAGAGAAAGGCTAAGTCTGTGATTGTCCCGTGTACCATTCCGAGAGAGTCTATTTGTTTCTATTGCCAAGAGAAGGGGCATTGGTTGCGAAACTGTTCTATTTACCTGAAAGACTACAAGGATGGTAAAGTCAAAATGTTTGACTCTGCTTCAGGTAAGTCCACTATCTAACTCTATTTAGTTCCTATTTGAAGATTCTTAATACATGATGTGATGAAATCACATTTTGATATTTTGTAGGATCGAAGAAAAGAAAGGAAGCTTAAAGGAAAAGCATGTTGAGTCTGATCGTGAAGAGATGGATTTCGATCGCATGATTCGATGATCAGAATTGTGAGCTACTACTTAGGAGTTATGATAGATTGCTTAGAAATATGTTGTAACATAGTTTTCATTTGTAATTGCATTGTAAGGACAAATTTTTCCGCAATTTTATAAATAAAGAAAAATTTGATTTTATCTTCTTTTATATTTCCTTACAATGACATTTGTGAAAATTGATGTTTTTATGTATCTATTTTTAGCAATATGGATTTGATTCTTTCGTTTGTGGTAGTGTTTAAATTTACCAAATAAGGAAAGATTCTCATCACCAAGTTTCAATTGGATAGAAACTTGGAATCATGCAACTTGTATTGTGTGATGAATGAGAACCTTCGTCTTTGGGAAATTAAGACTAATTCATTGTTCACATGTGTATGTGAGTCAAGTGAAGGACTAGGGGATCGAATACACTTGGTTGTGCACTGGTCAAGTCCACCACAAAGAACAATAAGATTATTCGTCATGATTTACTAAAAGATTAGTGAATATGATTATGCTTACAAGATTGAGTATAATTCTGAATCATTGGAAAAGTTTCAATGTATAGCAGAACGAATAAGAAGAATCAAATAGAAGCAAGGAAGAAGGAGCGCACAGAGAGACAAGACATAGAGGATATGATGTTCTTGATGGAAAACACCGACCATCTCTCGGGACCGGCTCTCGAGCTCGTGATGAAGAAGAGAGAAAAAAATTAAGAAAAAATATTTTCCATAGGTTGTTGTTGGTTTGTTTGATTTTTTGTTTGTGTTTTTTTTTTAATTTTCTATTTTTTTAAATCTTAGGTTTATTGTAATTTTTTATTTTAATTAATGAAATGCATTTTCTTTTTAATTAATTTTTTTTGTTGTTATTAATTTAAAAATTATAAATCATAAAAATCAATTAATTTTATTAAAAAAAAAAGTAGTGAGAGAAGCTTCCCACCCATTCCTTGAGTTTAGGTGAGGGAAAGAAAAGTGAGGGAAAAGATGATGTGACGCACAAAAAGTGAGGAAAATTTCCCACCCACACCCTCCTGTCTAAAAAGGAACTTCTATATTAATGTTTTACTTAGGGTATCACTACTAGAAAATTGGAAAGGGTATCAAGTTTAAAAGAAAAACAATTCTAGTCCTTAGCTGTCTTAGAGCCTGCAACCAAGTTATTTAAAGACAAAACTTCAAAAATGGTCCATGTGGTTTTCGAAAATATCAAGTTTAGTCCCTAAGTTCAAAAAACCTCACAGATGGTCCCTGTGGTTTCAAAACTTTTAACAAATGGTCATTTTCGTTAACTCCATTAGCTTTTAGCCGTTAAGTGAAGAGCAATTCTTTCATTTCACTGCCACAGGGACCATTTATGAAGATTTGCCTTATTTTTGTTAAAAAAAAGAAAAAAAAATAATTATTTAATATTAAAAGGTCCCACCCCCTCTCACACACACACACACACACACACACACTCTACATCGTTGTGATGGAAAAGCGAGAGAAGAAGCTCACCAACTGCCATCTCCGGCCACCAAACGCCACCGTCAATCCACCCTTCGGCCACAGAACACCACCACAAATACCCACCAACCTTTATCCTTTACCCTTGGATCGTGACTAGCAGCCATCAAGAACCACCCATCGCGACTCGTAAGTTACCAAGAATAGGGTTCTCACAATGTGTAATGTAATTTCGTAATGATTGTGGAAGTGTAGATACGTCTCCAATGACAGAAACTCAGATTTCGTCCCTGTCATCGGAATTCCATTTTGAAAGTGGATTGAAATTGAACGAAAACTTATTCAAAGCGGTGGAAATTAGTCAATTACCTCGACATAGAAGCAACTTCATCTTTTAATGTGTTTTCAAGCAGTCTCATTAAGAAATCGACTTCGACCTACATAAACACAACCAATCAATCGACTGAACCCACAAAGTTCTGATGAAATTGGAATCCAATTTCGATATTACACATACTTTGGGTCTTAACCAGTTGTCAGATGAGAAGGCGAAGACTGTAAGAACTTGGATTCCCCACTTACGACACATATCTACCACGACCTTCAATGTTCTGGCACCGGTCAAGTAGCCCACCTGAGGCATCAATCGTCTTGACCGATCCCATCTTCTGTTTCCGCCAATGATGACTGCAACATGCTTCGACATTAACTCGCGATGGAGTCCCACCGGAGTAACAATCGGTTCCTCCGGCGAAGTGATTCTAGCTCCGGCATATTGGTCGTTGGTGATTACATGATGACGGGGGGTGTTGGTTGATAGAGAAAAGGGGTTTGAAAGGCAAGAGCGAGGAAAGGGAAATAGATAGAATTATGAAAGAGGGTTTTCAGTTTCAGGGATGCAGATTGGGGAGAGAGAGAGAGAGAGAGAGAGAGAGAGAGAGAGAGAGAGAGAGAGATGAGTGAGTATAGAAGAGATGGGTGGGACCCATTTAAATTTTTTTTTTTTTTTTTATTTTTAAAAAAAATAGAAAACCTCATAAATGGTCCCTGGGTAGTGAAATAACAAAATTGCCCCTTACTTAACGGCTAGATGGTAACGGAGTGAGACGGAAGGACCAAATGTAAAAAGTTTTGAAACCACAGGGACCATCTGTGAGGTTTTTTGAACTTAGGGACTAAACTTGATATTTTCAAAAACCACAGGGACCATTTTTGAAGTTTTGTCTTATTTAAATTTTTTAGAAGCTTGAATTATTAGCTTTTAAAATAAAATAAAGTCAAATCTATTAAAAAGTTTTGTTTGTGAATACGTGGTTAAAGTTTTTAATTTAAAATAAAACTCTCACAATCCTCACCTATTATAACAAAATTATAAACTGCTTTTAAAAAATCACGTATAAAGCTATCATTTATGTTTTTCAAAAGTTTAGAACTATACGACTTAATCTATATCTATATGGAATAAAACCTACTCTTCAAACTACCAATTTATATATATATATATATATAGATATATATATAGATATATATATATATATATATATAAATGGTAGTTTGAAGAGTAGGTTTTATTCCATATAGATATACATTAAGTCGTGTGTATATATATATATAGATTATATATATAGATATATATATATATATATATATCTATATATATATATATATATATATATATATATATATATATATATATATATATATATATAGAGGAGAGTTCAATTGAGAAATAAAAGGTTGAGAATGGGGGAATCATTCTCAGCCAATCATTTAATTACCATCTTAACATAAAATACACGGTGACAAAATTGTAAATATGATATGATATCCTTCAATCACAGATACATAATTGTGGATAATTTGATAAGAATTCAAATTAATTACTACTCGATCGTTCATCATCCAAATTTCTTCTCCAACCTTCAACGATCATCCAAATTTCTTCAATTAAATCCTCGATCAACATCATCCAGTGTTAATCAATCATCCATCTTCGTCAAAAAACACGTTCATCAACATCATTCAACAGTAGACAAAAAAAAAAATCGTTTTTGGTTCTTTCAATCCAACCTTCAATTATGCTTGAATTCGAGCATATCTTCAACATCTACGATTAATTATACTCCCAGTTTCATTAGATCAACATCATCGATAATCAACAACAATTTCACTTCATATCATTCATTCAACATCGATCATCAAACAAAACTTCTACAATTAAGGTTAGAAAACGTCAAATCAATTTTTTTTTTGAAAAATTTCATATAATTCTCTATCAATCTACTATTTTGTAAGTTTTAAATAGTCAAAGTATCATGTTTTTAGCATTTTTAAAAAAACTTACTTGTATGCGCTCCAACTGTTTGATGAAATGCATAAACTAAATTACCACGTTATATTCACATATGAATATGTTTTCGCACCTTAATCAGTATATGATTATTAAAACACAAAACAAATATACAATTTTATATGTTATTCATATGTGAATAACATATAAAAATTATATATATTTGTGAATATACCTTGTAATATTCATATGTTAATATCCTGTGTAATATTCATATGTGAATAAACTGTGTAATATTCATATGTTCACATGCGGATATAATTCTTATATGTTATTCACATATGAATTACAAACTTGCTTAGGACCGCAAAACAATGTTTTTTTTTTCCGAAAAAAATACATTATCACTTATGAATAAAAAGTATGATTAATTTTTTTATAATTTAAATATCATTCATATATGAATATAGCATATAATAAACATAGTATATTCATATTTAAATATTAGACGATACATTCAATTGTGAATATTACATAGTATATTCACTTATGAATATTAGATGTTATATTCACTTATGAATATTATATGATATTTTCATATGTGAATATTACATAATATTACATGGTATATCACATGTGAATTTTACATACTATATTCACTTGTGAATATAATATGATATATTCACTTATGAATATTACACAATATATTCACATATGAATATTACACAATATATTCACATATGAATATTACAATGTGTTTTCACAAATATATATAATTTTTATACGTTATTCACATATGAATAACATACAGACTTGCATATTTTTTTTTTTTAATAATCATATACTGATTCAGGTCGGAAAACATATTCATATGTGAATATAACGTGGTAATTTAGTTTATGCATTTCATCAAACAGTTGGAGTGCATACAAGTTAACTTTTTTAAAAATGTTAAAAACATGATACTTCCAATTCAAGTTATCAATTCCAAATCATCATATACTTCCGATTTCGACTTTGAAGCGTGCAATTCCGATTTTCATTTCATTCCAAAAAAAATCTGATTTCAATTTTGAAACCTTGAAATCCCGATTCCAGATTTCTTTGTAATATTAATAATCAAGACGCGAACTGTTCCGATTAGAATATATGTTCCAATTTCAAAAGCTTCCGACTTCAGATGCGACATCCTATGTTTGATCGATTTCACATTTTGATTTTGATTTCCGAAAACCGATTAGGAACCTGTGAGTACGATTCCGAGTCCTTCAATGTCGACTGTGACTGCGAGTCCAGAACTCCAATTCCAATTTCATGAACAACAAATAAATTCCAATTCCAACTGAGTTCGTTTGCGAATCTGAGAAATTCAAATTCGGAGTATTCATATTTACAAGTTTGCCACCGTGTCTTTTATGCTTAGATTAAATGAGTAGCTGAGAATGATTCCCCAATTCTCAACCTTTTTTATTTTCTCAATTGAACTTACCTCTCTCTCTCTCTCTATATATATATATATATATATAGATATATATATATATATATATATATATATATATATATATATATATATATATATATATATATATATATGGAAAAGTTCAATAGAGAACCATAATTATTGGTTCTTCAAGGAACCAAATCTTTTTTTCAATTTCTAGAGCTTATTCTTTACCGAAAAAAAATTCTAAAAATATCTTAAATTCATATATTAACATTGTGAATGTGAAAAATATTTTTCGGATTCACCGTGTGAATCCGGATTCACGTTGTGAATTTTCAAAGATTCACATTGTGAATTTGACGTAAAAAAAAATTTGAATTTGATATCATTGGAAAAAGGATAAAAAGTTATGAATTTCTGTATTTTTAGTTTTTTTTTGATAAAAAATAAGTTGTAAAAGTTGAAAAAAAGATTGGTTCCTTGGTTCCTTGGTTAATTATGGTTCTCTATTGAACCTCACCCTATATTATATATATATATATATATATATATATATATCTATATATATATATATATATATATATATATATATATATATTAAAAAGGGACCAAAGTAAGGAATAGTAAACTAATTGGTCTTTTGGCATAAATGGTCCTCTGTCTATATGTGTAGTTATAGTTTTGGATCGTTTCTTTTAACGGGTCATATTTTGCCATTTTGCCATTTTCTGTGTATACGTGTTGTTCATTTTCACTGGTCAAAGTTGGATACGTGTGCATGCCTTGCCTTGGACACACGTTATTTTCCTGTGTTTATCCTCACATGTTTGTCTCTCCCTGTTCCACCTTCTTCCCACCGCCAACACCTCTACCGATCTACCTCATTTTTCCGAGTACATGTGACACTCCTGTGCTTTTCCGGTCATTCAGCTATGATTCCACCGCGCCGACCTTGCTCCAAGTCATTGTCGATATTCTCCGATTCATGTCTTCCAATCGACTCACCGCTTGGTCTTCCGGTTACAGTATCCACCGCCTTTGAACATTTTTGTTTCTTCTACATCCAACGAAATAGAAGTGATATCAGATACCTTTCTCTACGACTTCTCAAATTCTTTCGGTCATCACCATCATCTTCAGCCGACACCAACACCATCGACCCAACCCCAGCGCACCACCATCGATCGTTCACCGCCCCCAACGCAGCACCATTGACCTCCTTCACCGCCACGGACCACCGTCGTGGTCCACCATAATCAGCAAATCGCTTTTTAAACACGTAGTGGAGATGGACGCCAGCAAAAGGAACGAAGGTTACTGATTTAATCCATTCTCTTTAGTTATGTCAAATTATTTCTTCTTCATTTTTCCACCATCGTCTAAATCATTTTTTTATCAATTGTTGTTTGATTTGAAGGCTTTCTTTCACATCTCGGATTAACTATGGTCTCCATCTTCCAACATCAAAGTCACTTTAAAGTCACCATTTTGAAGAAGTTCTTGAATTGGGAGTTCTGTGTTTTAATCTTCTTCATGCTATAATTCTGGATTTGTGGTATTTTGAATTTTTTCATCTGTAACCAAGCTTCACAAACCTTCTTAGTGAAAACAGAAACTAATTTGGGCTTATTTGATTGTTTTTGTTGTTCATAATGGGCAGATTTGAAGAGCACATCAACTGCTTGATGAAATGCTTCAAAGAATCGGTAAGCTTAGTTCTACTCCATCATCGATTACATACACTTCTTATTTACACATTTTTGTTAATGGTGTAAATATATTTTTTTTATAATCTAAAAAGAGGTTTTGATCGCCAATTTTATAGACTTTGCTTATCTAACCATTGGGTGTAGAGGCGATGGACCAGAAGGAGATATATCCTGATGCTAACATCATAAGGATACCGCAGACCGCATTCATGATATTATAACCTCAAACATGGCTGGGGTAACATGAATCATTCATTCCTTTT